GATCGCATTTTTTGTGTGTGCGTGATGTTGTGGTGTGTGTGTGTGTGTGTGTGTGGTGTGTGTGTGTGTGTGGGTGTGTGGTGTGTGTGTGTGTGCGGTCATTTGATGACTCCATTACAGCGGTCTGTTCCATGCCTGATAGTCAGATCGCTGTGGCGAGTGTGAAACTTATTGGTGTTTGGAAGCTGGTGTGGAATAAAAAACATGACACAGCAAGGTAAACACCAACAGCTAATACATAAGATGCCCAAGCATCTGCATTAGTCCTATAAAGTTAAAGACAATAACTAATTTTGCCTAGTTTGCTTAATAAAAAAACAATCATATGACTGTCTAAGCGCTGTGGTAAACTGGCACGTGAAAGCTGTTTTGTGTTGATTAAGATTGTGAAGTTTAACTGATTCTGAGCTTCAGTGCATCAGCAGTGGAGGGAGACATCACATGAGGTATTATGAGTTTCAGTCTTCACACTAACTAATTCTTTAATTTTTGTCTCTTGCTTCCAGCTTGGTGAAGGTAACCACCTACACAGTCAGTGAACCAGTGGTGCACCTCTTCTACTGCACTGCTTTATTTGGGGTGAACAAAACTGGAGAAGTATTTGATGTGGCACCCAAGAACAATGAGGTGCAGCTGGCACAATAAAGTCAACAAGTAATGATTTCATGCTTTCTTTTCTTTTTTTTTAAATCAGCCATTCAGCATAATAATCCTCTCATACTGGACTACATTCTAAAACAAGCTGTTTTAGCTTCTTTCCTCAAACTGTAGCAGACCTTGGATCAAAATGCTTATTTGATATTTGCATGACCAAAATCTAGTTCAACAGCTCTTTGATGGATTCCTTGTTGCTTGTTTTTGGTAACTCTAAATGTGGGTTGTCTCTTGTTATCAGTTGGCACTATGAAGTTGAATTTCACTGCGTGATCCACAATGATAAGAAAAGCGTGTGGCTGGTGGGCGAATCAAAGGGAGAGATTTACATCGGCTTCCTTGTGAGTATACGAACCAGCATTACTCCACATTAAGCGTTAATTCACCATCAAAACCATTCTGAAGATGAAAAGAATTGGTATTTTAGGAAATAATCCCCTCCCTTGAACTGTGGACACTCATCATCTCTTGTGAACAGATTTAGTACATGTCTATAGGCAGAGATGGGCAGTAACGCGTTACTGTAATTCGATTACTTTTTTAAAGTACTGAGTAATGTAAGGGATTACTATTGCAAAAAAATGTAATTAGATTACTGTTACTTTCCCGTAAGCACACTGTGTTACTAAACCCTGATTTTTGTTTGTGAGAGTGTCTCATGACAATGACGTAAGCGCGTGCAACATCCGTGGCAGCAGCAGACGTGTGTATATCAACAATGGAGAAAGTACGACCATGCAGCGTTTAGAGCATGGAAGTACTGACATTGGTAAATGGCCTGTATTTGTATAGCGCTTTACTAGTCCCTAAGGACCCCAAAGCGCTTTACACATCCATTCATCCACCCATTCATGCACACATTCACACACTTGTCATGGCAAGCTACATGTAGCCACAGCCACCCTGGGGCGCACTGACAGAGGCATTACTTTGAGTTTGATTCCATGAAAAGTGACAAAAACATTAGCATCCATCGTGCACTCTGCGTGGGAAGAAAACTTCTTTCTACAGCGAAAATTTTAACTTCAAATCTGAGCAACCACCTAGCACACTGCCACAGGAATGTGAAAATCACAGAGAAACCCCCGGATCCCCCCACTGACATGACCATTGAGGCACCGGTGATAACACTGAGTAATAAGACACCGATGAAAAGACAGAAGCTGACAATCATATCCTCTTAATTTTCAGTTTCCCATGAGTCGGGAAACATCCCTTCAAACAGCTTTCAGTGAACTGAACATGAAATGTGACGAGGAAGAGGAGGGGAAGAAGAAGAGGACCCTGATAACAGCTGTAATAATGGATAACGGTAAACATCAGACCTGGAAGTAAAAGATGTTTACTTCAGTTGATTTTTCATGCTAATTTGGTCTCAGAAAAATAGTCAAGATATTCACTTTTCTGCAGCATATGACTAAAACATTGTATTCCTATGCATCACTGCCTAGATTTTGCACCCTTGCTTTAAAATAATGGTCAAGATGATGCAGGGTATTCAAATATTGTAAATAAGAAGACGGTTAAGTAGAATTCCACCACACTGTTTTGCTTCCTGTTGGTTAAATTCATAAGGTAACTAAGCAAATAAGGTAACTAGGCAACACCTCTGCTCTCCCATACCATATATACACATATAGAAAATGTCCCAATGATCCCAACAGCCAATCAGAGGACTACTGAGGTTAATCTGATTAATGAGTATCTTGGACATGTGCATTAGGAGTCAGACATCATTAGCAAATCCATATAACTTCCAAACTCTGAAAAGTTCAGAGCACAAAACGAAACTTGTTTACACATGAAAACATTGCAGTATCAAGCATGTTCTATGTGTATATGGAGATTCTGTCACACCTGAAATGTTTGTCTGTTTTAGATTTTGTGGTGTGTGGAGATGCGGAGGGCAACATGTGGTTCAATCGCCCACCAGAGCTGTCCTCATGGAGCAAAAGAAAGCCTGTAAGAGTTCAAGAGTGAGAGAAGAGAGTGACTGACATGAACATGTAAAACTGAACATTTCAAGCAGTCTGAAACCTGAGTTTTTGGCTCACATTGATTATTTGGGCAAATGGTGACCATACACTTAATATCAAGCTTCACTATTGTAAAAACGTTTTCTTTCTTCCTGTCTGACAGAGAAAAAAAAAAGAAAAAAGCTTAATAAGTAACGTCTGAGGTCTTTTAACAAAGCAGAAAGAGAGAAAACTGCCAAAAAAAAGCTGAAAATTCTCATATTTCAGCAGGTAAAATTACAAATCTGGCAATTTTTCCTCTGAATTTTTAAAATTTATTTATAGACAAATCAAATTTGGTCATCTTGATTTAAATGTACAGAGAAAAGAAAGCAGACAGCAGACATGATATACAACTTTCCTCCTTGTAATTGTGATGCTTTATCTGCAGGCTCACAGTGACAGGATCAGTGTGCTGAGACTCACTGACAGCACCATCATCTCAGCCTCCTATGACCGGACAGTGAAGCTGTGGAACAGACACACCAAGAATCAGGTACTCTACAAACTCCACAAAACAATCTGGCCATAGAATATGTTTGTCTCCTTATCATATTCTTGCTAACTTACTGTGTTTACAGTGTTTTTGCAGCTGAAAACAGTACCCAGCAAATACATTTTAGTTATCTCTACTAGTAAATTACAGTCTCTACTTGTGAGGTGTGTTAAATCTTTTAACTTTAATTTCCTGAATAGGAATAAATTGATTTATGCCTCAGCTTTCCCCTATAAATACAACATTTGATATTTTCCCCTATACCAATGATGCGTTTTGACATTTGATTATATATATGAATTAAGACCTGGTTTGACAACCATTAGAATAGTTTCTGGGTTTTTCCAAGGGTAGCAGCAAAGTTGTAAGATTCCTGGCTTTATATTGTAAAAATTGTGAGATTAATTGTCAAATTATTTTAACTTCTCTTAAAGCAAGGATGATTTTCTTCACCCTGTCTCTTTTTCTTTCTGCAGGTGGGCTTGTTTGTGTGTGGAGGTCCTGTTCTGATCTTGGAGGTGAATCCACAAAGACCCACTGAGCTGGTCTGCAGTGACGGAGAAAGAAAGCTCTACTTCCTCTCTTGGAGAGAGTAATTCTCTCTGCGTTACACTCTAAGCTTTAGGAATTCAGGATAGTTTGTAACAAGTCACTAAGCAAAGACCAATAGGAATGCTTTCATTTTGGCGTCGGATGTACAATAAATTCATGTGAAGAAAAAAGAAACTGAAATGTTTACCTAGCCACATTTGACCTACCTTTAATTTAGATGGAGAAACTTGCAAACATGACAAGCAAGGTTAATAAAAAAATAAAATGTTAGTTTACGTTTGTGAAAGATCTCTTTAATTAAAAATTCAAGCAGAAGAAGAGAAAAATGTGTTTGCGTCTTTTTTTAAATTCTTCCCATTGTGTTATTTTGGGGTATTTTGGTGTATATTTTATTAAATATTTTTACATATTTTTCAAGTGTTTACATGATTTTCCCTTGACAGTTCTTCAAGCGTTAGATGATAGCAGATATGGGTTGTTTGTTTTGATTTTAATTACTTGTTATTTCACAGTTGTTTTACCTATTTAAAAAAACCCACATTTTATTTACTCACGTTTTAATGAAAATTCCAACATTAATGTTTGTACAGTGACTTCTTTTGACTTCCTTAAAGAGTCAGTATATAGAGGGATCAAAAGTGGTGTCGGTATTAATGATTTTCAACACAGACTATACTTTTTGAAGGGATTTTCTCTAAATGTATCTAAGTTTTAAGTTTGGAAAAAACGCACCGTATTTAATGAGCTATATTTTGTGTAAATTTACACAAATTCTAAAACGCCAAACATTGTTTGAAGTAGCTTTAAATGTCACATATTGATTAAGAAAAAGGTTAAAATGTACAGTAAGCGTGCTTGCCGCAGCTGTTGATAGTATAATAGGTGCTTTTATTTTTAGTACACAGACAATTTTTTACAATTATTTGAGAGACATTAACTTAAGTACTTAACCTGCTGATATCCTTCTAGTTGTATTTTTATACCCTAAGGCTGTAAAGGGAATTTCCGAACTGCTCCCGAATGCAGCCGAATCGGGTTGACCGCTCCCAGATGAGACGATCACTCACCCTCACCTGGACCACGGGGTATAGGTGAAGCGGACAACCTCCGCCAGTTTCAAGCGATAACCCAGATCTGGGGGAAGTATTCCCAGCCAGTTTCTTTTTCCTTCTGCTTTGTAATTTTTTTTTCCTACAAAGGAGGGAGGATCCTGACCTGCGCAGCTCGCTGAGTGAAAACAACCGACAGTATCAATAAGCAGAGGACACAAAGTCCTTCTGAGGAGCGGGACTTTTATATTTATATCCGTTAACCTCTGACAACAAACGGGACAAGTTCACCGTAAGGGAGACAGCAGTTCCCTGTAATTGTACGTTAATGGTACGGTGGCCGTTACACGTCTCGCCCTTTATGGTGAACGCCTTTATAAAAATAGCGTTGATACAGTAAATATGTAACCCCCTGTCTGTTACAGGAGCGGTACGGTAACCTTGATTTGGACCTGGAGTGTGACGGAGGAGCTGTCTCTGTGAGTACAACTTTAGTTTGTCGACGTTTGTTTTGTTTCTTCCTGAAGTCAGCCGGTAAGCATGTTCAACACTTTACTGACTTTTACCACAAACTGCGACCGCAAACAGACGCATAAGTATGCGGAGAGTTCAAGTTGGCTCTTCATCGCAAAGAGACATCGCAAAGTAACGCCTGCGGGTTACTTTAATGGTTTATTTTTAAGCGACTGTAACTTACTCGGGTTGATCGAAGGCGAAAATAACCCTCCGGGTCCCTCGTTAACTCTGCCTTTCACTGTTAAACTTCCATACTTTTAAGGTTTGTCCGGACAAACTAATAAAACTCATTAAAAATAGTGAGTAAAGGTAAAAGAAAATCTGCTTAGGTTGCTCAAAGCTCTTTTTGGTTTTTTTTAATTCAAAAGTTTTCTCACTTTTTTACATGAGAGATTGTTAAGCACACCAAGACGCAGTAGTCTGCTATCAGTCTGCAACTGAACAGGGTCAAGTTGGCAATTGCATACAATCTGTTTCTGATAATTTAGATATAAACTATTTGTTGAAAATCATATCTTGCTATGTGGACATAAATTTGCATTTAACAGAAATTCACATGAATTGTCGTATTTGTACACAGCAACCTTTCTGTTCTATGGGAATATGACCATAATACAACCAGTTGTCTGTCAGCCAAAATGCGCCCTCTTGTTCGTAGTATCCACAGAGTACTATTTTAATATATTTAATAAAATCTTGATGTTTGGTCTCCCTGCATCAATACCATATCTCCATGCAAGATATCGTGATACTGTTCTAAATCAATTCTTTGCCCTGATCCTACAATTATGAGACGTTGGTTTAAATGTCCTCTAACATTACCCCAGTGAGTATGTACCATTCACTAAACTAGTGATGTTTAACTGAAAGAATAGCAGTCCAAATCTATGGTGACTATCACAAAAGGTGGCACTTGTATGATACATGATCCTGCGTCATGCCCAATAAAGCCAGTTTCTTACAACAGCTGACCTTGGAATAATATCCTCCCTCTGGAATAAATAACTGCCTGAATGTGTCACCAAGACGGCATGACTTGCCCAGAAGGACCTTGCCCCAACTAATCTACAAAGAGCACATTCACAATAATGAACAAACATGTTTTTTCTTTTTTCCTGTGACGCAGAAGAATATTTCCAGGCCTGCTGTTTTCTTCAGCCAGAACATTCGAGTAGATCCACTGGGCTCATATCCAGCACTATATTTGTTTTCAGACTCTAGCGTTTTATTGTGTAAAATAATGCCCATTTTCCTTATCGGACTTTTTCAAAACTCCAAGTTGGGGCAGTGACTGTGCATGTTCCCACGATTGGTTGAGATATACCGGTAGTTGTAGTACATTCACATTCTAGTCTTTAATTGTTCTGATTTTATCTGTTTTGATTTTATATACTGTTTTGTTTGTTTGTTAATTAGTTTGTTTGTTTGCTTGTTTTAATCAATTTTAAATCATGCTTTTTATTTGTTTTTGTTTCTAATGTCTCTGTAAAGCACTTTGAATCACCTTGTTGTTGAATTGTGCTATACAAAGTAAACTTGCCTTGCCTTGCCTTTAATTACTAGCACATGCGTGTCCATTATATTCGATATAGATACATACAAATTACTTAATAAAGATTTTAAGTTAAAATAAATTAAACTTATAACAAAAACTGTTAGTAATTTATTCATTCTTTTGTTTATTATTACTTTTTTCTTTCAAAATCAAAGCCTTTTTTATAGTATATTTGATTTTTGACACTTTTATGGTTTTATGTGCTACTAGTGTAATACACAACTTGGACAGTAGGAAGTTCTGTACTAAACAAAGTAGTTCAAAACACAGAAAATGAATAACTTTTCTCTGACATGTCACCTGTAATATACTGGAATAAATATTAAACAATCTGATTATGTCTGAGCTGCTCGGCAAATTTACCGTGAGGCCCAAAGGAAGACTTTGCTTCACTTAAGTGGTCGGAAGCCAGAAGCATTGTGGTCCACTTTTAACTTGTACGTACACATGCTGTAAATACAAAAATCACTCATGATGTTTTCCAAGTCCAGACATGAAATCAGCTTCAATTCCAGATTTTAAATTCAAACATGAGATTGGAGTGAGATCTTTAAAATGTGTAAGTGCATTAGTAACAATTGCATTAGTTAAAAAATCTTTTCAGTTTTGAGTCCTGAGAGCAGAGCTGTAATCAGCGAGGCATTTTTTTAACTGCAGATTTACATCTTTTAATGGCAATGTTTCTTTGAGATGGATTTCAGTAAATGAATGTCTCTCTTTTTAATTTTCAATCAGCAAAAAGCCTCATTATTCAGTGGGATATTCAAAAAATCCTCCAAGTCTAAAGAACTGCTTCCATCTGCACAGGTAATGTTGCGGCTTTAATTATCCTTATTATGTTATTTGTATTTTATTAATTTTGTTGTCTTTTCAAAAGCTTGGATCGAGGACTGACTTCCAACAGATTGCAGCAATTCGCTGTAACTAATTTTAATTAATTAACTTGAAACAGTCAAATTTATGTATTTGTAATCAAATTTAAAGCAACTTTTTTTTTTATAATTTACATACTTGTATCTCCAATTAATGATATATTTGTGGTTGTAATTATGCTGGAATGCTTAAAGGAATGCCTAAAATCTGCCAAAGAGGATCAGACATGACATTATACTACAAATGCAAATCCTGTCAAGTCAAAACCTTATGTTATGAATGTCCCAAACAAGTAATGAAAATTATCCCACAGGAATTTTCTCTAAACCAAAAGTAGTTCTTAAGTTTGTATACAGATGAAAAAAATGATTAAGCCCTAACAGTAAGTTTGGATAATCAGTACCACATGCATTGATAAAAGCAATATTTTCCTGTTTGTTTCCTCTTTTGCTTCAGGTTTCTTTTTGTTTTGTTGGTCATGTTTTTAAATATTTATAAGATAACAGGGAATAACAGTTTTCTGCCTTTGTGGCTTTAATTTCCTTAGTTTCATATAACCAAAAACACCTTTTTTTGTTTTTGCAGGCTGCCTTGACATTACAAAATCCTGAACTGTCTGCCAGCAATGACAGTTTAACCAGCAAGTCAAAGGTAAATTTGCTCTCTTTCTGTGATATACATATTTTTTAATTCAAATTTTGCTTGTATTTTAACATAAGCATAGAAATGATGATGTGCAGAATTTATAGCAATTGCTAGTTTTCAATCCTGTACCTATTTAACTATCTGCAGATCTTATATATGTATAAACTATAACTACAAAACTCCACTAAATGCTTGTAACTGGGGAAAATCTTCAAAGCTACAATGCAACAGAGTAAAAAAAAATACATTATTTAATTGCAATGTGGTTCATTAAAATAGCTGCTGCTATGATTTGCTTTTAGCCAATCATTAAGCTGGACTGTTAAATATTTAATACGTATAAATGATTTGGTTTTAGTTGGACTTCACAGAGAAAAACAACTATCAAAATTCATGTAATCTCTGTGGATTTCCTACCTAGTGTTATGTTTTGAAATTCTTTTCTGTACATTTCTCTTCAGGATAAATCAGGTGAGCTGGGTGGATCACGGAAACTATCTCCCAAACCAAGACATGTGCGGAGGCCTTCGCAGGTTAAACACAATCTTTTATTACATGTCCTCCACTCACTGGAGGTTCATGCAGGAAATGCTACTAATGACTAACTGGCTAAACTGTGTATTATTATGTTATTTGTTATTTACTGTGCATTCTTGTGTGCTTCAGGATCTAAAGGACATCTCAGCCAGTAATGACAATCTGTCTGAGGACACCAATGCAAAGGTAGGTCTGATCAGCAAACAGCAATTTGAGATTCTCTTTTAAAGTTCCCATTTATGTCTTTATTAACAAAACTACATAACATCAACAAGAGGTCCATGCTAACATCAAAAGGCATTAGTCAAAATCTCTACAACATAAGAAATGCAACAAAGAAATACATCTTAATAAAAATGGTAATATTGTCATTTAAATAACAGTATAGGGAATGACAATGCCTCCTTCTACTGATTATTTCTCCAGTTAACTAACCGCCTCTGTCGCTTGTTATTAAAAGTGCATTTACCACTTCATAATACAAAAAAATATCCAAACTGAATGAATGAATTTATTTGATTGAATCTTAATGGTAACTTCAAACACCAAAGGAAAAAAGGGACCTGATAAATGTCACTTCAAGCACAGATAAATATACTGGGCAAGCGCATGTTTTTCAGAGATTTATGAAATGGTTATCTGTTAAAACCTTTATGTGGGATTTTTCTAGTATCATCCCCTGGAAAATCCAAATGTGCTTTATTAGTGACTTACAATACGTTGATGATTTTGAGCTACAGTAGCAATGTGCCTGAGTGGACAGGTTTTTGTTGTGTGTGTTTGTACGAGAGGGAAAAAAAAAAAAAAAAAAAAAAAAAAAAAAATCCTGCATCAGCGATCTGGAAAAAGTGCTGGCAAATGTTTGGGGCACTGAACCCTCCCTGTCCATGTGACTGATGCGCCAGTTTAAACAAAGGAACTGCTACTTTATTCATTTAAAACTAAAAAAGGTGTTTTTATACATCTCTTTATGTATCTTTGCACATCTCTTTTTGTTACTTTTAGGAGTCAGGTGGATGACGAGTAGAATTTTAAAAAAAAATTTAAAAAAGGACTCCAAAATGGGTCTGACTCCTTTTAGTTTCACCTGTGTTGAAATACATATTAAGTGGTCAAAAGGTTTTGTTTCTCTTGTTAGGAGGATTTGTCCACAACCGTTAAGATCTCAGGCAGCAACGACAATCTGCCGGTGAACAGCAACACTAAGGTGAGTTTTTTAAAAGCTGCTTCCTCCATCTGCAGCAACTAGTTTTAAAGTTCGCTTTCACCCTATAAGCAGCTAGAAATAAAAATAGTGATGGTAAATGGACTGATTCTTATATAGAGCTTTTCTACTCTCCCAGAGTACTCAGCACTTCACCCAATCACACAATTCTCACAAGCACTTTCTGTATACATAGTGCTTTCTAAGTACATTCACACTCCGATGGATGCATCAGAGAGGAACTAGGGGTTAGTATCTTGCCCAAGGATACTTGACATGCAAACTGGAGGAGCTAGGGATCGAACCACCAACCTTCCGATCAGTAGATGACCTACTCCACCTCCTGAGCTACAGCCACCCCAAAGCTCACAGCACCTGGTATTCCCAGGCGGTCTCCCATTCAAGTACTAACCAAGCCCAACCCTGCTTAGCTTCCGAGATCAGACGAGATCGGGCGTGCTCAGGGTGGTATGGCCGTAAGCCATACCACGCCGTGATCCTTCCGAGTGATTCTTGTTAAGGTAGCGCGCAGCGTCAAATCCTTGCCAAACACCAATTTTAATGTGATTTGATTTTTTTTTCTTTAGGAGACAGGTGGGATGTTTAGCAGTATGTTTAAAAAATCCCCACACCCTCAGGTAAGAGATTAATAACAATGTTACAGTCCATTTTCTGGACTATTATGAGTATTGTAGTTGATGTTTTTTCTGACCTTCAGGAGGATTCTGCTGCACGAGATGATCTCTCTGGCAGCAATGACAAGAACCACGCAAAGGTAAGTTGTTTTTTTTCCCCTGTTTGAAAAAACCAAAACCAAACAAAAGTCAGCTTTCATAAGTAAATAAGGTGACACAAGTGTCACTAATTGTCACTAAAGTCATGTTTAAGACTATATATAGTCAACCCCCAAATGCTCTTTTTTTTTTTAATGCCAGACACAAAGTATGGCATAAAAAAAAAAGATTGATCGCTTTTGTTTTATTTTCAAAAGTGATTTGGTGATTTGTTGCAGGGCTCAAATGTAAGGACATTGCTTGTATGACTTTAACAATGAATCTTTTTGATACTGGGTTGTTGGAGTTAGCACTGCTGTTTTTGTCTGACTGACTTTTTTGTTTGATTACCCTTTTGTTAAGGATGATTTGTCTGTCGATGATGAACTCCTTGCTGGTAATGACAGTGCCGTGGAGAAGTCTTCAAAAGTAAGTGATAAGGTTACTGTTACAATATACAGGAAATACGATCAGTTTCTAACCTTAACTGCTCTGAATTCTGTCAGGGTGGCGTTGCAAAGGTCTTGAGGAGTCCCTTCACCTCCTCCTCTCAGGTTATTTCCTTTTTCAGTAATATCACGTCATATCACGTCCTCTACCTGCCTGTGCGATGCACATGTGATTATGCTTTCTGGTTTGTGATATACATACTTTGTATGTTACCAGGATAAGGAAAAGACTGACCACTCAGGAGACTCACAGGAGAACAGTTCTGCCACAGGGAAGCCCAAAACCAAGGAGGTTGGTTGTTTCACCAAGCTGAATTTCAGCTCTCTTTAAAGGAGCCTTAACCCTGAGATTTTGCCTCACAGTGATTGATGATATACACTGACCTCATTATTTTAACCTTTCCCCATGCTTAATCAGAGGATGCACAAATATAACAGTGTTTTAATTTTTTTGAAGAAAGAAAAACAACAGTTTGGCTTGATGATTTACTCTAAACAGTAGCTGTTTTTGTTTTACCTCATAATGGTTTCAGTCAAATGATGAAGAGCACGCTCTACAGTGATAAACAAGTGAGAGGTCGCTTAAAATATATGAGGGACGGAGAGAGCGAAAAGCATTTTAAAAATGATTATTCAAGACATCCAAGGACACTTAACAATAGAATAAAACGCATAATAGAGATGACAAAATGAAGAACAATAAAAACAAAAGAACAAGATCAAATTAACAAACAGTGGGTTCACAGTGAACAGATGGGTTTTGAGTTGAGATTTAAACTGGGAGAGAGAACCAACGTTTCTTACATCTGAGGGTAGAGAGTTCCACAGCCTGGGAGCAGAGCAGCCAAAAGTTCTGCTTCCCATGGTGCTGACGCGGAAAGAAGCCACAGCAAATTGGATAGCAGAAGAAGATCGAAGTGAGCGGGGTATTGTGACATTAACTCAATCAAAATTGGCATCATTCACAGGAGAAAAGCTCCAACAACGATGACGAGAAGAAAGTGGACCATGGAGATAACCAGCCCACTCAAAAACAGGTTTGTGTTAATGTTTGGGTCTTCTTCTTCTAAACCCAACTTTTGACTGAATGAACAGGAAGCAGGATCTTCTTCTTCTTCTGCTTCTTCTTCTGCTTCTTCTTCTTTTAAAATTCTGTTTTACCTCATATTCAGAATAAACTGGCTGGGGGAATGACGAAGCTGAATCCATTTCGATATGCAAATAAAGTAAGGATGCTCTTGATTATCCCTTGGGGGAACAAAATCTGAGGATTGTACAGTCACGTTCATCCGTTGATTTCTGTCTGTTCTGTACAGAATGAAAAGGAGGCAGGCTCAATAGAAGAAGATTTAACTGTCAGCAACAAGAAGTCATCAGGCCATAAGCAGGTACGGTTATAGATATTTTTCCCTGTTTAAAGTACATTTCTTTGACATTTCTCAGTTTATTTAATTCAAGTTATGTTTGACAGACACTGAGGGGAAGTCTTATTTAGTAGGAAGCTTGCTGCTTCCTGTTCATTCAGTTAAAAGTTGGGTTTAGTTTCACCACCATTGAAAGTCTTTAAATTAAATGTTGCTGAGACAAAACTTCTTGAATATCCATAATCAGCCAGACTCAGTGTTCTCAAACCATTTTTGTCATTTATTGTGCCTTCATTTACAACAGCTCACTCACTAGAAAAAAAAAAAAAAGGACAACAAAAGATGCGGGTGTAGTTCACTGGGTTGAGGAGGTGACCCCATGTTTTATAAAAGTA